AATAGATTCTACCTTCCTGTAACGTTTCAGCCTGATTGGACTTTGTTTTCATACAAATGAACCCAGAATGATGTGAAATTGTGCTTCGTGCAACATAATTCTGGGTGCCATTTAAAAACCATAAGTGCTAATGACTCCATTCCTTATTGGGGTAATGGGGGCTGTTAATTGGAGTACATTAAAACAAACATGATCTCTCTAGGACATTCAGAAGCCAAGTTATAAGCCCACAAATGTGTAACTGGACTACTTCTTTAAATTGTCACCAGATCCGGTGACCTTTGGGACATGGTTTGACCCCCTATAGGAATGTGCGATCATCATGAAACGTTCAGATCACTTACAACTCAATAGATTCTACCTTCTTGTAACGTTTCAGCCTGATTGGACCTTGTTTTCACACAAATGGACCCAGAATTATGTGAAATTGTGCTTCGTGCAACATAATTCTGGGAGCCATTTACAAACCATAAGTGCTAATGACTCCATTCCTTTTTGTGGTTGTAGGGGCTGTTGATTGGAGTACACTAAAACAAACCTGACCTCTCTAGGACATTCAGAAGCCAATCCATTCTTTCGTTCTTTTTTAAACACAGAAACAGTTTTGTTGACCTGTTTGTAGCTACAGTTTCGCCGACAGCTGCCGGCTTCTTCAGGCTGACGCTGATGGTGGCGCGTCACTTCCTTCTCCGTTTATCTGCGGGCAGCAGTGGACGTTGTCGCCCTCTACTGCCCGCTCTCCCCTCTCCGACGATGCATTCCCATGCGTGGTCCAGCGTGTAAACTCCGTCGTCCCTGTTCATGGTCCCACATCCACGTCTCCTTATCTCTATTGCTTCCTTGATCCATCTTTTGTATTTTTGTTGTTCGGTGGTTATGATTCGTGTGTTGTCCCGGTCCATTACATGGTTTTCTCTTAAGCAATGATCTGTTACGGCTGACTTTTTTATTGTACTTTCTGCTTCTTCTTTTGCTGCTCTTGTGTGTTTACGATTTGCCTCTTTCTCACACTCCTTTCTGTGTTCTATTGTCCGTGTGTTGAGTTGGCGTCCCGTTTCTCCTATATATGTTTTATTGCATATTTTGCATGGGATTTCGTAGATGACTCCACATTTTTGTCCAGCTGATATTTTGTCTTTTGGGTGCACTAGTCTGTTTCTAACTGTTGTGGATGGCTTTGTTGGTGTGTTTATGTTGTGTTTTTTCATTGTTGCTCTAATTTTTTCCGTTATGCCTCTGATGTATGGTAGGGTTATCACTGGTTTTGGTTCTTGTCTTTCTGGGTTTCTGGTTCTTTTTTTTGGGTTGTTCTTTGCTTTCTATTCTTGTTTGTTGTTTTCCTTTGTTTATTGCCCGTGTCGGGTATGCGCAGGTCTTTAAAGCGTATTGTATGTGTTTGTCCTCTTGTTTACGGTCTCTTTCTTCTGTTATTATGTTTGCTCGGTGATATAATGTTCTGATTACTGACATTTTGTGTATGGTGGGGTGTTCTGATGTCCATAATAGATATTGGTCTGTGTGTGTTGGTTTCCTGTATGTGTTTATGTTTAGGGTCCCGTCGGTCTGTCTGGTGATTTTCATGTCCATAAATGCTATGCTGCCTTCTGTTTCTGACTCATAGGTGAATTTTATGTTGCCTGTGTCGTCAATGTTGTTTAAGTGTTGTGTTAGTGTTTCTGTTTGACCTTTTGGTATGATTTCCAGTATGTCGTCCACGTAGCGTTTCCATAGTTTTATTTTGCAGTTTGGGGGGGGGGCAGTGGCTATGGCTTTTTGTTCCAGGTCTTCCATGAAAAACTCGTTCAAAGAAAAATACGGACAACAAGGAACGAAGGACTTCCGCCGTTTGGAACGATTACACCAGAAACGCGCACGTCTAAGGAACCACCTTCGCTTCTGTTTAAGATGCCGGGACGAAAACATCACACCCACAAGCCTACAGCTGAAAACATCGATCCGGACCAAGACAGCACAAAATATAATAGAAAGAGCACAGAGAGCACTGCTCAAGGAGAGGATAAGGAACGTCATAACCAAACAGAAGCGTGTGGAGGAGGAACTAGAAAGAGGACACCTGGACTTGAAAAGGAATTACAAACTTGATAAACAAACGGAGGAACTAATTAAAGGACACATGATGGAAGAACAGGAAAAAGAGTTCATAAAAGTAAAAGAAAGACACATAAAGAAGTTAAACAGACTCATAAACAAGAAAAATAGGGGAGAAATACAAGGTAACTCCACATCAAACTCATGGGTATGTAATATTTCACAATACAAACTAACAGAAGCAGAAGAGAGCATATTAAAGAAAGGTTTAAACTTTGCAGTCACACCAAAAGAAATACCATATGATGAATTTATTGTAGTACCAGAACTAGCATGTCAACAGATCACAGATGAGGGAAAGAAAGCAGAACTCAGAAATAACGTAGTTGGGATATTAAAAAACAGCCAAATTCAACACAGCAATATTACAAAAGAAGAACAATCAGCAATGACAGCTTTATCCAAAAACGAACAGATAATTATTCTACCGGCAGATAAAGGAAGAACCACAGTAGTTATGGACAGAGAAAAATATAAACAACAGATGAAACAGATGCTAGAGGACAAAAATACATATGAAATACTTAAAAAAGATCCAACAGAAAACATAAAAAAAAAACATGAAAAAATTACTGAAGCCACTGCACGAAAAAGGCAAAATAACAGAAAAAATGTACAAACACTGGATTCCTACAGCAAACATAACACCAAGAATATATGGAACACCAAAAATACATAAACAAAACACCCCACTTAGACCAATAGTAGACAGCATCGGTACACCAACATACAACATGGCAAAAGATATCAGCAGAATCATCAGCCCGTTATTAGGAAATACAGACCAACACTGCAAAAATAGTATAGAACTGGCAAAAGAACTAAAGGAAATTACAATAGAAGATAACGACATACTCATCTCACATGACGTCACATTTTTGTTCACAAAAACACCAACCCAAAAAACCATAGACATAGTAGTTAACAGAATCAGACAGGACAAGACTTTACACAAAAGAACAAACCTCACAGCAGATGACATAGCACAACTGATAGGACTGGTAGCTAACTCCACTTACTTCACATACGACAACACAATATACAAACAACTGGAAGGCTTCGCCATGGGTAACCCGTTATCAGCCACCCTGTGCGAGTTTTTCATGGAAGACCTGGAACAAAAAGCCATAGCCACTGCCCCCCCAAACTGCAAATAAAACTATGGAAACGCTACGTGGACGACATACTGGAAATCATACCAAAAGGTCAAACAGAAACACTAACACAACACTTAAACAACATTGACGACACAGGCAACATAAAATTCACCTATGAGTCAGAAACAGAAGGCAGCATAGCATTTATGGACATGAAAATCACCAGACAGACCGACGGGACCCTAAACATAAACACATACAGGAAACCAACACACACAGACCAATATCTATTATGGACATCAGAACAACCCACCATACACAAAATGTCAGTAATCAGAACATTATATCACCGAGCAAACATAATAACAGAAGAAAGAGACCGTAAACAAGAGGACAAACACATACAATACGCTTTAAAGACCTGCGCATACCCGACATGGGCAATAAACAAAGGAAAACAACAAACAAGAATAGAAAGCAAAGAACAACCCAAAAAAAGAACCAGAAACCCAGAAAGACAAGAACCAAAACCAGTGATAACCCTACCATACATCAGAGGCATAACGGAAAAAATTAGAGCAACAATGAAAAAACACAACATAAACACACAAACAAAGCCATACACAACAGTTAGAAACAGACTAGTGCACCCAAAAGAAAAAATATCAGCTGGACAAAAATGTGGAGTCATCTACGAAATCCCATGCAAAATATGCAATAAAACATATATAGGAGAAACGGGACGCCAACTCAACACACGGACAATAGAACACAGAAAGGAGTGTGAGAAAGAGGCAAATCGTAAACACACAAGAGCAGCAAAAGAAGAAGCAGAAAGTACAATAAAAAAGTCAGCCGTAACAGATCATTGCTTAAGAGAAAACCATGTAATGGACTGGGACAACACACGGATCATAACCACCGAACAACAAAAATACAAAAGATGGATCAAGGAAGCAATAGAGATAAGGAGACGTGGATGTGGGACCATGAACAGGGACGACGGAGTTTACACGCTGGACCACGCATGGGACTGCATCGTCGGAGAGGGGAGAGCGGGCAGTAGAGGGCGACAACGTCCTCTGCTGCCCGCAGATAAACGGAGAAGGAAGTGACGCGCCACCATCAGCGTCAGCCTGAAGAAGCCGGCAGCTGTCGACGAAACTGTAGCTACAAACAGGTAAACAAAACTGTTTCTGTGTTTAAAAAAAGAACGAAAGAATGGATTTAAAAAGACACAGCAAGAACACACCTAAGATATTCAGAAGCCAAGTTATATGCCCACAAAGGTGTACACTGTAAAAAATAAAAAGTCCAGTGAACTTAAAAAAGTAAAGCAACCAGTTGCAATACAATTTTAAGTTCAGTCAACTTTTTAGGTGCTTGCTTTGCCAAGTCTCATATTTAAGTTGGCCTAATTTATACGTGCATTTTATGCTTACTTTTAATAATAAATACAACCAAATTGAAATGTAACATTTGTAGAACCAGGAATAAAGAGTTTACTGAACTAACGATAATAAGTTTGGCAAAAATTGGGATACATAGTTCTCTAAACTTAGAATAAGTAGTTGAGTCAATGGCCAGATAAACTTAAAATAAAAAGTTGGCACAACTTCCTACTTGCAAAAAGTTGACTGAACTCAAAAAGGGTTTGCAGCCAGTTGCTTTAATATTTTAAGTTGAATCAACTTTTGAATTCAGTTCTATAAACTAATTCAACTGTGCTGTCCTTCCCACATTTTGCTGACAAACAACACTTTCATTAAAAACACAAAACTGAATATTTCAATTTCATGCATGTATTTATTAACATGCTAATGGCACATTTAAAAAAAGTTACAAAATGTGTAAAATTCAAAATCTCATTACCAATACAGGAGCATTAACACTACAATAAAATATATCAGCCACTTAAACTGATAACATGGCAAATATAAGAAGTTGCTGTAAGTGTTGTAACATACTTTCTTACAGCCTATACATGCAAACTTCCAGTATCTTTGAAAAGGTAAAGCTCTAACTGCTTCAGCAATAAAGACAAGATAAAATTAATAATTATCACCCAGTACCAGGTTATTTTGACCTGAAAATGAAGACATATTTCTGTTCGAAACTAAGACAAATCATCAGAATTGATATTGGATGCTGAAGATTAATTTTACAAAAGCTTTGATGCCAATCTGATTTCAACATTTTAAATCACATGAATCTGAAATGTGGTGATACAGCTAAGTAACACTTGAGTTACAATTAATTTGTTTCATTGAAGGCATATACATGCCGCCATAAGTAATATGAAACTACTAACAATCAGTTGCAGCGATAAACTACAAAAGTAGCAAAAATGTTAGAGAACAAGAAAACTTCACTGGTCATGGTGAACTTACAAACGTGAGAATAAAAACATTAACATTTAGAACCATGAAAATGACTGGAAGAGACCGGTACATTAGAATGTCAATACTGTAACAGCTTGTTTTTGAAGGACTGGACTCTTGCTGAGCATTTGGGATCAAGGCACATGAACACTTTTTGAATGGTCTCAAAAGTGTATTTTAGTTCCTTGGGGTAGTCCATGTTGAGGGCATAGATGAGGCCAAAGAGGAGAGCAAAAGCAGTTGGTAGGTCACTTACTTCATCCACAACAATCTGTTCTTCCAGCACAACAGCAAAGAACCTTATGTTTGGGCTTGACTGGACGGTGGCAACATCGTCTTCAATAACGGTCAAGATTCCCATCTTCATGGAGTTAATCTGATCTTCTACTGGCTCTGTGTCCTATTAAAAAAAAGAGCAAAGAAATGAGATTAAAACTATGCTGTCTGTGGGAACAGCTAAACCCACTGACTTAAACATGGAAATCTTAACTAAAAAAAATATTAGGTATCAAAAAGTGAATAGAACCAGGTTCTGAAACTTAAAAGATGCCCAGTAAAGACAATACAACAAACTTAAACTAAATGTAACAACTTAATGTTGGTACCTATAAATCCACATCTTAACAGTTTTGCAGAGGAAAAAAGGACTAAGATCTTAACCAGCATTTGAGTCTGTATTCAATTCAAAAATACTTTATTAATCCCAGGCAGAAATTGATTGCTGTAGTAGCTCAGAATAATAATAATAATAATCAAGTCTTCAAAGAGTTATTGTAGATCACGATGGCTGTTGGCAGGAAGGATCTCCAGGAGCGGTCAGTGTTGCAGCCAAACTGAAGAAGCCTCTTACTGAAGACACTCTTCCGTTGTCGGACAGTCTTGTGAAGAGAATGCTCAGGGTTGTCCATCATTTTCTTGATTCTCTGGAGAATCCTTCTTTGCATTATCTCCTCCAGCGGTTCCACAGTCGTCCCCAGAACAGAACCAGCCTTTTTATTAGGTTATTGAGCCTTTTCAGGTCCCTGCTTCTGATGCTGCAACCCCAACAGACGATGGCTGAAGAGATTACACTCTCAACAACAGACTTGTAGAAGATCTGCAGCATCTTGCTACAGACATTGAAGGACCTAAGCATCCTCAACAAGTGCAGTCTGCTGTGTCCCTTCTTGTAAACGGCTTCGCTGTTCTTTCTGTGCTGCAGCATTGATTTGATTGTCTGATAGTCTAAATTGTCTGATTTGATTGATTGTCTGCCAGCCTGCTCAGTGCAGCGATCATTTCGGCGTCTGCTCTATTTTTTCTGCGAACCGCGTCAATTCTGGCAGTAAGTCAAACCCAGACACTTAAGAGGCAGACTGATAAATGTAACAAAATAAAGCATTTTCTAAATTAAATTCTGCGATAGTATATCTAAACACACAACAGAGATAAAACATAACAGACACACACAAGCATCCCCTACACACATACATACCGATGCAGCGACCAAAATACATATATCGGGGGGGGGGAGAAAGCAGACAGAGTTCAGGAGGCAGAGAAAAGAGGGAGCAGAAACTTTCTGGTTACTCGTGTTGGGGGGGAAAAACAGCTCTCTGAGCATAAATACAGGGGGTCCCCAGCAAAAACAAGAAACTTTACGAGTCTGATGAAACCCGCTGGTTTTCCATCAGGCAGTCACGGGGCAGCTCCAACGACCCAGTGGCTGTGCTGGGTCAATGTTATCGAGCTCAGTCCGGCTCGGTAGAGGGTGAACGAGCCGAGGCGACGTCGTGCTCTGCTTAAGAAGAAGTGTTATTTTCCCGCTTCAGAAGAAGCGTCCAACGTGTTTTTACGCTTCCTCCGAGACATGTCACGTCGCTAAGTTGTTAGCGCCGCGTGCTAAAACGTCAATAGTGCAGCGTAGCCTGCTGGAGGTTTTAAGGGTTCAGATGAAAACACCCGACCTCTCACGCTGCTCACACATCGATCTTAAGTTGTCGCTGTTGCGCTCACGCCGTAATACAGTATTAGATGCGGTTAAAGTCAGACATGAAAAAAAAAATAAATTTTACATGAATAAGTGATGCTTAACCTGGTGGGGGGAGGAAACCCTGTCAAGATCGTCAACACTCATTTATCTTAAAGCTATTGAAACATGTAAACCAAAAAGCATTATATCCACTGCTACCTTTCTAATTTTAAACTCAGTAACATGCTGTAACTTCACCTTGCCCTGCCTGCTCCTTGCTGCCTGCCGGCTGTGATCACAAGCGACAACATAGTAGTTCCCGCTGCTTCTTTGGGAAACGGCGCAAAAAAATAAAAATAAAAAAATAAAACTTGGGATCTTGTAGGCGTGGCGGTGGGATTTCAGCTGTGGCTGCCTCCCACGGCTACGCCTATGTAAGGGAAACCCTGCATTTTGATTGTAATGCCGTTTACTGAAATCTCAAAGTGGAGCTGAAACTAAATACTAGATGAATAACAGTTTTTACTATTTAGTGTAATTAGCCTTTCACAAAGTCCCACCCCCTTAGTCACTGTTACGTCCAACAACCAAATGGTCAAAAACAATCACCCCGACACATGCTGTGATAGGATGCACCGGTCTGCACGTCACCCAGGGCTGCGTCTGAGGCGGGCGCCTCTGCTCCAAAGCGTGCAGTCTGTCATGATCTGCCCCTGCCCTTGGATTAGTCCCTATTGGTTCCACCTGCCCCTTGTTAACCTGCCCATGTGTTCCTGATTTTCCCCAGTGTATTTATACCTCCCGTCTCGTATGTCCTGTGTCAGATCATTGTGGTTTGTTTGTCATTGTTGTCTCGTGCTGTTCGTTCCCGCTCTACCATTAAATCATTTTTTACTTTATCCATGCCTGCCTTTTTTGCCTCCTGGTCAGCTCCACCACACATGGTCCGCCAGCAACTACTCCTCAACGTGACACAGTCCTGATCCCAACAGGGCTTTGCGGGACGTTGTCGGGCCACGTGTTCAAAGCAAACTGGGACCTGAAACCCGAATGTGATGCGGTCGCCCTGCCACAACACCTGTTCCCAAATTTCCAAGGACACGTATTTATGCTTCAATATGTTCGACACATTTAACTGGGAATGGGGCCGTCCACACCATTTAAAAGGTTAAAAATGAAATGTAGTGGGCGTCGCATTGGTGGAGGGGATAAAACGGGCGACCATATACGAGGCAGTGATGCCGCAGCGGCCGGACCAGGATCGACCCCAGACCTGAGCGCCCTTTGCCGCATGTCCTCCCCCACCTCTCTCTCCTGTTTCCTCCCATGTCCCTATCAAATAAAAGCTGTTGTGGCCATAAAACCTTAAAAAAAAAAAGAAAGAAAAGAAAAAAAAAGAAATGTAGGGCTTTACACAAAAATGTGTTTGGATTGTGATTTGGTTTCTGCTAAATCTGATTATTATTAGTATTTAGATTACAGGTTCGAGTTTAAATATCAGTGTTTAATTAAAGACCAATATTTTTTTACCAGAGTATTTGTAAATGTGTGCATCTGAATTACATTTACTCACCAGACAATCTTTCAGAAGGCTCCCAGAATGTTTATCCATAAACATGGGCAGACCTCTAAGAGCAGTAGCCTTTCTGCAGCTGAGCACATCAGATGTCTGAAAACAATGACACCAAACAAATGTGAGACATGTAATCAAAAGCATGAAGTTAAAATATGAAAAATGGCTTAGATTACTTACTTGGTCATCAAGTTTTTCTAAAAGGCTCTTCATGCCTTCTCCACAAGCTGCACCACTTGCACGGTACACTTTAATCATTTTTGGTGCATACTCATCCAAAGACGTGAAGAATCTGCTTGTCAGGTTAGTTCGGGTAATTCGGAAAAACTCAGCACATACCTATAAGACAGGTAAACAATATTTAAAAACTAAAACAGTGAAGACCAACTATTTGAAGGGAAAAAAAACAACCTTACCTGATCAGGTAAAAACAATGCTGGCCACTGTTTTAAGACATCATCCACCAGAGGTTCTTCAGAAACTATCTCTTTTCTTCTAAGTGAAAATGTTAGTTCCATCTTGGACTTGACAGCTGCCATGTTTGGATGCTTTTTCTGCATTTCTTCTTTAAGTTCATCTTTTTCTTTTTGGAGGGAAGAATCTGTCTGTCCAGTTGGGTTGTCTGGAAGGAAATTGACCTCACACCTCTTGGCTTTCTTTAAAGGTCTAGAGTCATGTTTGGACCTTTTACGGTTCACAAGGACTTCTGAGCAACCAGCGGACTGTAGCTTCTGGCGGTAGTTACCCATCTTATATATTATGCTCATAGTCCAGCTATGATGGCCAGGTCCAGGACCTGGATCTCTAAGACAAGGGTGTTTCTCAATCAGTGCAGAAGCCACTGACTCCAACTCTTGTTTGGTTGGATAAGCCTTGAATGCAAAAACTGTTTGAGCTATGGTAGCCAGTATATCCATCTTAATTTCTCTTGACATTGTAAGAAGAAGCTTTCCATTTTCTTTATATTCCTTATTTGCTTTTTCTAGGCGTAGTTCAACATCATAAGCAAACTCAGGAATCACAAAGAAAGATGGCCATGGCAAAGCCTCACGTTGTTTGACTGTCAAAGACACAGGATCTTGACTTGAGCAAGTTGGGGTATTTAATGAGGAAGATGTAATGGATGGGTCCAAAGAGGAAGCATGACTCTGTACATCTGTATCTAATGGTTTTTGGATGATCTTCAGTACTGCTCTATCAGGTGGAAGTTCTGTTATATTAGTCAAATTACAAAGTTCATTCCCAAACTCTGGGTCCTCAAACTGAATCTGAAAGTTATCCTTGATTTCCAGCTTTTCCTTAAGAATTTGTTCCAGTTGTTCAACTGAAGAGACATCTTCAGAAATATCCAACCTTCTAATGTTGTCTGCAGCCAACACCACACGTAGACGCATATTCTACAAAGAAAAAAGATAAACAAAATTTCTTGAAATCACAAATAGAGGGTGAGGCTTCAAGATCCTGGTATCCTTATACTTGACACTTAGTTTTATGTTAAAACCTAATTAAGAAGAAATCGTTTCACTGCAACAATGTTCTTTCCCTGAACTACATAGAACATGAGTGGATGAAAGTCATTAAGGTCTTCTGGCTCAAGAACTTCAACTGTGCTTGTTTCAGAAACTTCGTAACACCTATAGTGCTCAATAAACAATGAAGAAAGTTTCTTGCAAAGAAAGGCCACCTTATTGGCATTCACAATGACACTGAGTATCTTGAAAAAATCAGGCAAACCACTGCACTGACCAGAGGATAAAATCATCCCTTCACTGAAGTGAATTCCATGAACCTCTACATCTGATGCAAACATCATAGCATCTCTGTGTGGATATCTTCTTTTGACAGCTGCCCTCTGCAGCATCTCTAAAGAAGACACATTCACAGTTTTTAGTTTTTTCACTGATAAAGATGATGAAAAAAAATTTGGACCATTTAGATAGTGGGCCATCAGAAGCTGGTGCTTTGTTGCCAGAGTAACTGGAATGTTTTTGAAATTTCGCACATCTTTTATCACACTCTTGAAATAGCTGTGCTTGGCTTCAAATCTTATTGTCCATAGCTCAACTAACGGACCAAAACAGCGAATGAGGTGAGGGTAATGCTCCAAGTAATGGTGCTTTGGTTTCAGTTTTACGTTTGGGAATGATTCTTGAAGGTGGTGACGGTGTTCTAAAATTTTCCGTTCCAAGTATGCCAATGTATGTTCTGAAAACTGGACTGACATGACCAACTCCACTATTTCTCTTAAGTCCATCAAAATATCCCAAATAGGGTCAGAGTTTGGAACAAGGTGACCGATGATTAATGGCAGTAACCGTAGCAGTGCCCAGTTTTCATGCCCATTCCCACCGATTGTTTTCTTTGAGAAGCTCAACTGGGAAATGACTTTGGGTTTATTGACTCTGTCTGAGTCCTTGTAAGGAAAGGATTTAATACGGTGGTTTAGGGTGTCAAGACTAAAGTGTCCTTTTTTTATTAGCTCTTTTAGGCAAATGGATAGCTCGAATGGGACAATTCCTTCCAGTGTGTCATGCAACACATCAGGCGGAAACCCTGTTATTGGGTGAAAGAAAGTCAGGTGTTTACTGAGGACACACTCTCTTTTTACGCCAAGCCTACTCTGGAGTTCGGGTTGGTCTTTCAGTTCATTGATAATGGCAGTGTGCTGCTCAATGGTTCTAAGTTGAAAACAGGAAGCATCTTTGGTTTGTATGTCATTTTTGCTCACGTTGCAAAATCTGCACAGGTTTTCAGCTTGAAAGCTTTCCTGAAAACCTGCTAGACCATGTGCCCCCAGATTGTCTGCACACACACAATACACTGTTCCTTTAAGGGAAGTTTGCAGTGCTTCTACAAAGACACCTTGCTCCTCCAAATGACATAAATCTTTTAATAATGGATGAAACATTTTTTCATAGCCAAAATGTTTTAAGTCATTAGTTTTTCCCAGCAGAACCAGTTGTATAGCAGGAAGTGTAGAACGGAATTTTGCAGGCAAATTTAATAATACCCAGTAAACAGCAGTAATTTTATGGATTTTTTTTGAAGTGCCGAGAGGATTGCAAACTTCAAATTCATCGATGTAGAGAGACAGTGAAATGCAATCACTTTGGGCACCTAAAAGTTTGTTCTCGTTGTAGTACTGGCCACTACGAGTAGATGTATATTGTCCTGGCAAGACATCCTCAGCAAAAATGGCTTTTTCAAAGACATCAGTTCTATTCAGTAAGGTTTCAAGAACTCTCAACAGTGGGACATAAACAAAAGTATTTTGATGTAGCCTATGAAAACGGTATTCCACAGGATCAACTACTTGAAAATGCTCTCTAAAATATGCATTCCTCTTATGTTCTGTTGAGAGTATACCCTTGTTTGTAGTGGCTGTGAACACAGGATTTGTTTTAAGCACCTCTGCTGATATCAATTCAGCAAGTTCTTCTGACTGACGCTCATCAATGTGACTTTCATATTTGGCTAAAATCGCCTGGATAGACTGCTTTGCCGTATACTTAGAACAGGACACAATATCACTGATCCAGTTCAGAATCTCCTGAGTAGCATTTTTTGAAACATGCAGTACTGTTTGCATATAGAGGATGAGTGATGCAAGTTTGCGTTCTAGTTCCAAATAACTGACAGGCTCTGAAAAACTGCTTGTTTCAGGTTCATGGAATTCAGCAGGAACAGGATTCTCTGCAGTTGTGGATGTTGGATCAGCAATAGGCTCTTCATCTTCAGGCCAGGCCTCTTCATTGCTTTCTAAATGCTGTGTTTGACACGTAACAGAAGCGCTAAAATCATGAAATTTGCGTGACTTGTGTTTGCGTGATATGTGACTACTTAGCGTGGTAAGGACATTGGTTTTTAGGTCACAATCCTTAAAAGGACATTTGACAGTGTCATATCTCTTCACATGATTTCTTAAATGGATTATAAACTGGGATGGCTGGCAAACTTTTTTAAAATCACACAACTCGCAAGTAAAATAGAGGTGTTTGGGAACTGTAACAGACTGCTTATGTGCTCTTGTCAAATGGGATTTTAACGCACCTTCTGTTTTAAAAGTGCAGAAGCAATCCGTGTACAAACAAGGCAGCTGCCAAGGTCGTCCTTGATAGTGGTGTAATCTGTAATGCTTCAAGAGGACCTCCTGACTGGGGTGGTCAAATTTGCAAAGCTTGCACTGCATTCCAACCTAAGGAAGAAAAAAAGGGAATATTAACAAGTATCAACAAAAATATTAGTTTTCTGTAAAACAAGGTGTCCAATTTCAAAAACAAAAAGTGGATCTAACAAGCTAACTGAATAAAACAAATCTATTAAATTTGTCGGTAGATAAAGCTATATGACTGTCAGATGTGCATATATTTTTTGTTTTAGTCAAAGATATATATAATGTTTAATTTTCTCACACTGGGCATTTGAATTATAAGCATGAAAAGGGTACATAGAATGTATACAATGTTGCTGATGGAATACAGGATGAGGGGAAGATGGATTTCAGAGCACAGTGGTGGAAAGGGAGCTGAAGGCCCGACAGTGGTGTGTAAAGTGTGACATGGGGTTGTTGGGTGGTAAAATTTTAAACATTTAAATGGACAACCAAAAATGCATTTTGAGAGCAGGAAAGAAGCTAAATCAACTCAGTTGAATTAAACTAAAAAGAAACAGAGCAGCTGTATCTGGTTATAAAATAATGATCCTCACTTAACATACACTTGCGGCAGCCACAGGAAAATCTACAGAGCGTCAAAACGAGCGCACCCCAAAGAGGTTTGTTCCCGCCCAGCCCCACAAGTCTTTCTATTGGCTGAGCGGTTGCTGGGAGATTTGCTCAAAACTTGGAAGTACAGAGCAGACAAATCCGTGAGAGCAGGGGACAGACTTGTGGGAGGAGTTTTGATCCGTGCAGAGAAAAAGTTGTGACGAGAGAAGACAATACCAGTGTAAGAAGGTTAAATCTGAGCGCAGAAAAATATTTGAAGGAGAACAGAGTGAATTTGAAAGAGAGCAGACATTTTGAGTGCAAGCATTACAAGTTTTGAGAGCAATAATATAAAATCTTATTCTCAAAATAAAAAGTTGATCACTTGATATGAAATTCTGCTCTCAAATTGAAAGTTCAAGTGCTCAATTTCTGGCATTTTAATTCTTCCACGCCTCCAGAGTGCCAAAACTCCCAACAGCCGAGCGAGCAGAATCAGAAACCGAGCGCGCAGAAAGGCTGCCGCGTGCACGTTTTCCTCTACTGTGTGCTCGTTGGCCAATGCGCGCACGCAGGTTTGTCACTTGTGCACATCCTTGTGCGCTCACAGACACAGTTTGCTCTTAGTGTACAAATGACCTTCTCACCATGTATATTTTCACTCGTGAGGTTCTAACTTCCACGCGCGAGTCCCGTTCGCACGCGCGATGTGGACAATACGCGTGCACGAGTTTTGGCGGAATTCTACAGGGGAGTGCAGGGTTAGCTCAACATAACTGGAGCAGGCTCAGCTTCGGAGTTTATCTGAAAACGCTTACGTCCTACATTCACTTCAGCCCGTCGGTCGGCGCGGCACCTCGTTAACATTTAAACTGCGTTTCAGCTTACTTTTACGATAGTGTTCAAATCTGTACAGCCTAAACCGTAAGGTTAATCATGTAACGCTAGCTTAATCTGAATCACCTGCAACTTCCACTGAGTTCATTTAACTTGGAAACGTGGGATATTTTGAAGGGGTCTTATGTATGTTAGGGATGTGGAATCGTTAATAAAAACATTTTTATATATTCATTGAGACTGTTTTGACATAAAAATGCAAATAAAATAGCACTTACCTTCTGCTCAAAGAGATGCCAACATGAGGTGCCCCCTGCCCACTCTGCGGCTGGCTGCATGGCTTGGGAAACCCCGTATATCTTACTGACGACAGCA